AACCACGACCTGATAAAACCCATATACTGAAACTATTACTAACTTAACTCTCTTTGACATTAATATGGCCATCATCGCCGTCGACGTCTACAAGAGGCCAATGATCTCGAAAAGGGTCCAGTCGCCAAAGTGCTCTTCGCTCATGTTCTTCCCATCTGATCTCTCGCCAATTTGCCAATTAATCGCACGCTGCAGTGACTGTGTGTGTTATTGGATTACAATTAAAACAAATTTATATTTGTGTTGCGTATGCCAATCTTGTTAATCCTTTATCGAGTATTATTGTGAATACACGATTACCCGAGGCCCATTTTCGAAGTAAGTTCTTTAGCGCTCCCTTATATTATCACAGAACGCGGCTTTCTAAGTTACAGTTTAATAGAGGAAGAGGCTTTTATGTGTCCGCAGACGACGGATTTTCGAAAACGACACCCATCTGAATAGTACGTTTCCTTTAATATCCCTTTATCTCATACCGACCATCGTCAGTTGTTGTTGTTACTGTCGTTTGTTTTTTTATGTCTGGTAGTCACCCGCTTTTTTTTGTTCCTTTGTGTGTAGAACATAATCTATATGTGTATAAAAAATTAGACCCATGTGCCAGTTTCATCTGAATCCGTGCGGACAAGCAGACGTTTGCTCGCGACGGAAATAGGAAAGTTGTCGCCCGAGCTATAGCAACATGAAACGGATGAGCTAGGCACAACATACGATTGAAATCTTAGCAAAAGCTTTACCATTGAAGTTCTGACTCTCGCGTCTACTTCCGTTCTCGTGGCTGATTTTGGCCAGCTTTACCTCTGCATACGGCACGCGTTGCCAAGACCTCTGCGAAGGACAACCTGGCTTTAGCGAGTATACACAGGTCGGTCGGCACTGGCAAAGGCAGAAACTTCACATTTTTATTATCCTACAAGCGATCGGTGACAAAGGAAACGTCATCGTGTGTGATCATCACCCCATCACAGCAACCGCCCCCCGCATCACTACCAGTATTCGTTCACTCCTCCTTGCTGATCGCACATCTATTGGCAGTGACGCGTGGCAATGTTGTTTTGTGTATGGCGCGTTTTCGTTTTTCAGTGAAACGTTGTTTCCTTTGTTGTGCCTGCTATCCCGTCTGGCCTTTTCCCCTGTTGTCTTTTCACTGTTGGGACTGGTGATGGTGGCCATGGCAATGTTGCTCCCCTTTTGCTGTTACTATTGTCCGTACCGCCAAAGCAGAATCTCAACAAGTTGCGAACCGATTTTGATGAATTCGCCTTTTCCTTCGCTCTGATCCTGCTTCTACTCTGGCAATTTCTCGTTATCTATTGCAGCAGCAGCAATAGCAATGGCACCGTGTACCATAGGTGCTTGTCTGACTTGCTTTCCTGTTCGCTGTAGTACCCTCTAGTCACTATGCAAAATGCAACGAATGAATGACTTAAGAGTGAGTACGAAACGTGCGTATTTATATGTTTGTGTAGGCACGTTTGAGAGAATATTCCGCTGGCTTCAGTTTCGTTCAAGGCTTCATTTATTCAAAGGGTAAAATTCAAACCTTCGAAACGACGGGGAACCCGAAGAGAGCTTCGTGGCTCACGATCCTTATATATCATCCTTGAGAAAGCAGAACAATGGAAACGTACTGAGGAATATGTAACAAACATAATAGAATTGAATATAGACGTGATAAATGCGCGTGTTAAATTTATAGAACATACACTTGTAAGCGATAAACATTATCTTTATTCACTTATATCTACGTCGAGATAAAAGAAAAATGTATAGATAGTTTGGGAATTTAACTTAAAAAATTGAGACGATTATGGTTGGAATAATTTGTCTCTTTACTATAAGTCTACTTTTTTCTTTCTCGTCGGTAAGTGTGCTTCTAGATAGTGCACTAATTCATGCCTTTGTTTATAGTAGACCCATACAGCAGCTGCTTTACATTCGCAAAATCAAGGTTTTTGAGAGCGGGCCATTCTTGAGCACGGCAATGCGCGTGTTTGTCTCGGTAAGATCCTGAGCGCAGTTCTAAGTTCTACTAGAATTTCAATCTTTTCTTGAACCTTTCCCACCTAGCGATAGATTGGTGACAAAAGCACAAGATCTTGTCATGATAGGGCCACATGACACTTACGATCAAGATTCTCGGTAGCATCTCATTGGAAATTCATAGCCACTAACACCCTGCCTTGAACCCCCGCAAAGGCCCTTCGAGTGAATTTGACAGTGTGTGGCAACAGCTACAGTCCTGATTGCTATGTTGGGTCTACACATCCGTGGGGGCCAAAAAGTCAACCCATAAAATACTTCTTTCTGCATCTGCACATTAGAGTGAAACCTGTTCTACAGGGTAAGCACCTGTTGCATGCGAATACTCATATAGACGGCTACGCCTTTCAGGGTAAATTGACCCCTTAAACAGAAACGTGAACTTGCGAAGCGAACGCACTTGAACAGCAAAGTATTAATGGTATTGGCATAATCAGGCCCTCGCGATGGTGTAGTGAGGAGCACGTTATGCTTACGAAGTGCTGCTCCGGGTTCGAATCCGGCCGTGGATACACGTGTCGTTAGACAGAACGCCTAACTAGAAGTAGTTGCAATAACATGTAGACCTACTTAGCCTATAGTGTGTCAGGAATCCTACAACATTTCTTTTATTTAGTACTATTAGATTAAATAGTTTAATAAGAAAGAATTATTAAATAATAAACGGACTTAATGGCCTAATTAATATTCGTGTAACAGCGTGTTCCATATGTGCCAATTATCTCTCCTTACCATCTGCAGCAATTAATTCATGTAGCCTCTCATAGAAATACATATCGAAAATGTGATTAAAAATAGAAACATCTTCTCAAGATCTTAGACACTATACAAGATTCTCTAAGGAGAACAGAGTACCAAAGGTTTCAAGGGAAGAGTATTAGCCAGTGACAAGAACTAATTATTATTGCAGTTGATTTATGTGCTTTGTTGGCTTGCTCTATCTTCTTAATTTGGGAGCCTGCGAGGCACCATGACGTCCGTGGTGTCAAGTTTGCTCAATAACGATAACAGGGCCGTCAGCGATGACAAGATGCCCATCAAAGCAATGTTAGGAGGTCTTCAGTCAAGCATCTCACACGATGAGAGCACAACTCGATCAAAAGGACCCATTCATACCAAGTAACAATAATACTGATGATAAATTGTGTGTAAGTTCACCATACATGAACGAAATGAATACCCTATGGCGGACCAGTCCTGATTTTTCTTCGCACTCTACATGTGCCATCGGATTTAAATGTGGAGCACATTTGTTGATGTTTTACATAGAGCATTTTACGTTGGTAAGTTCCTGCTATAGTGACCTGAGAACTTTCGTAGTGTTTAACTTTTGAGATGTCCATTAAGTTTATGTTTGTAAAGGTATTTTAACATCGCGTCCTCTACAGCCTCGAATTACCCCATGGTCAAAAACTGTCCGAATTATAATGCAAATGGCAAACGGAAAGGACGCATTGAGCCTACATATTTACGTAACGGCGATGATCGATTCAGAAGGCACGAAGTACGCTGAGAGTCGAGTGACAGTCTCGCAACGAATGCGTTCATACATTTGAATACGCTTTGCTGCCTTCTTCGGTGCATATGCGATAAGCTCTGCTAATAGAAGAGTCTTTTAAACATTTGGAGAAGGTTGATGCGTAAGTTAAAATGAGTAAAGTTTATGAAGCATCCAAATGGATATATAGCACCGTTTGAAAGACAAACCCCTGAACTAAGAGCAGCGAAACGTGTTTTGTAGAAGCACAGGGCGTCGATCAACAAGGCAGGCCAAGCTGAAAAATTTTAGTGCAGTCCAGGTCCCATATCCGCTCGAAAATAAAAGTATCATTCTATAGTTATGTAGATTAGCTTTAAACGATCAAATAGTTCAACCCATTGAAGCGCAAGACTTCGCCGGTATGTAATGGATGAGCTTCTGCCACCTCTCTATGTTCACATACATATATGTACAATGAGACGATGTCAATTTGAGACAATTGTAAATGTCACAAGATAAATCTTCGTTTTAATAAGCGCTCATTAATATAAATAGTGGATTATACTGAAAGTCATTTGTTTTAATCAATTAGTTGTATACTCAAAGGCTAAATATTAATGCTAACAGTAACAGTAACAACAGAGGACGCCTCGCTGAGAAGAAATGTCGGTTACGAGCGGTGAACGATGCAGCTTTTACTCGTCTGTCTTGTTTTAATAGAGGACAGAGTTCCCAAAAGGAGCATTCAAGAAGGATCTGCTTTCGTTGTGAAGTGTCGAGAGAGGACCAGCTACGCTGAGCTCGATTAACGATCCTGATACGAATGAGCTGTCGGCCGTTTTGCGTGAACACAGTATAATTATATCCGCAATATTTTACGCATTGGCTTTCGTAGTGGCTATATACTTAATAGTAAAGAAAGACTCCTGAACGAAGGCGAGTGCATGGTGATCTCGATACTGGCTAAAGTTATACGATGAGCTTCTCCTGCAGTAGAAGAACGAACGCAAGCGCCATAACAGATATCGGATTTTTGCGCTCGACCTTTGTGTTACGCTTGGAGCGCATGACTAAATTACATCAGATTTGATTGTTGCATGGCAATTTTCGACGAACGGGTCGAGGCGAGATGAAAAAAGCGGGCGCCTCATATCATATGTGAAGCAACGCCTAACGGCTTAAGTAGCACGCGTAGAAAACGTTTTCGGGAAATCCTTGCAATATATGCCTCAAGCAATCGGCTGCTCATCTTCTCAACGAATGAACAATGTCTCCGTTGAGGTGACGCCTTATCGGAGCGTAGGTATACTTACTGATACCTTCTGATGCAACTGGAAGTAGAATAAATTGACAAATCGTATTCAAAAATCCTGGCAGGCTCCCTGAAATACATCTAACCTTCACGAAAAGATAGAATAATCTACGAACTAAGTTTAATCCAAATTGAATACAGTAAACTTAGAGCAGACTGACTCACCTAATAAAGCAAGACTTTGTTGTGGGGTGAGAAAAAGATTGAACGGAAGTTTCGGAGGAGCCATGGGTGTACTAACGACAGCCGTTGAGACGAGAGCGGAAAGCAGCGCCAGCGATGTCGGCCATCGAAACCACGCCATTTTCTTAGTCCGAGATTGCGAGTATACAATCCTTTGCTAGCTAACTTGGTAGCTTTAACTTTTATATAAATATACATATGTGTATATATATATATATATATATATAGATATATATATATATATATATGGAGGCGGATATATATCTCAGTTCGCCAGTACACACTCTGACACAAACGCAGTTTGTCGAACCACTCTTCAGCACCCGCTTAGGAGGCCATAATCCGGTTATACGTATACGCACAAAATTTCACCGTCCGAAAAGTCATCTTTCTGCAGTTGTTACGGGGGCACAAGATTAATCACAAGGTGATGCCAGTGATCCGCAACGACACGTTCCATTTGCTTCACATTCAGTAGAGTAGATTAAACTTTTGAAGATGAAGACTAGCTTAGTGTAGACGGCAGCAGTGCCGGCGGCGCACTTCGAAAACTCATTGACATAGGGACAATCAAACCAGATCGCTTTAATTAAGCCACGAAAAACCACCCTGACAGAGCAAACATTATCTCGTCAAAACATATTCCATCACGATTTGTGTACGAACGAACCTGTGAAGACTTTATTCAAATTGAAAAGCACACTAGAATACTTGAAGGATACAGTTTTTGTTCTTCATGAAAATTATCTCATTTTTCGTCTGGTTAAATAATCCCCTAAAAATAGTTCCGTCGACACAACCTTCCCCCTGGACGGCTGGGGGACTTCTGAGGGCCGTTCGCCCGCCTAATACTTGCCCTCCTCCTCGTGCTCGCCCAATAGCAGCGAGCGGCCCTCGCCACTCAAAAGAGCCAGTGAACATGAGACAAGCAAAAAAGAAACAACCATGTGCTCAGCGGCCCGTCTTTCCTGTCGTCTGACGGCAACAGCGACCTGCTGCTTCTTCCTAGTCAATATCCGCGCAACGGTAGATACCGACCGCGATATCACCTCTAGTTAGCGATTACCGTGAGGCCGTTACGAAAAGATAGTACCATTGAAGAAAACCGGTGATAAGGGCGGAATTAATTTAATCAATTTAAGACAGGATATATGATCGATGATTTTTGGCTGAGGTTAGCAGAGCGGTATGTTATAATTGTCTACAACGATAAAAGACAGATCCTAATAAGTGCGTATGCAAAGGGGGCTATGAACCTAAATAAGCCCAGCTCTCGTAATTTGCATGCAGATGTATACAGTCTCCGTGCAACATGAGAACGGGGTTGAGTTGTCGGGACGTTGCTAATGCAGTATTTATAATAGTAATATATAGTAAGGAAAATGATTCCAACGCTCTTCGGAATATAATGTAAGTTACTGGAAGCCACTCGTCACTTGTTTTCATTGCAAAAAGACATGTGTGCATTTAGTCAAATGAATAAAGAAATTTTAGAAAAACAGAAAATTACAAACTTAAAAAGAACTTGAAAAGAAAAAGAATTTACGCACATTCGACGCACCGATCCTCGATTGTTTGGAACCATTGGCGTCTTTCATAGAAATATTTGCGTCACAGAAACAGGAAGCTGCGGTTTAATATAAAGTGAGAGAAGCTTCCCAACGATCAGGTTTGTGCGTTCAACACTGCGCCTTTCACCCGCCTTTAGCGGCTTAAGAACAAATTAAACTCCAGGTATCGAAACGATTTTACAAACCCACCTATCGGCCCAACAGCATCAAAGAGCAATGCGCGAACATCTACGCTGCCAACTTTTGTTAAGCCTGACCTATACAACACATGTAATGTGCTATCTGGACGCTGTGGCAATGAGTGGTGGCGAGCCCAGGTATTATCAGTATAAATAGGTCATAATCCGCTCCTTCACATGCAGTAGAGATCAAAGTGAACTTCGCTTCCGGTAATCCTGAAACTGAAAACTTCTAAAAAATTCTGTTAACCAAAAAAAAAAAAGATCGTTTACAGGTTACGGCCTGTTGTAATTTAAATTAAATATTTCTCTGGCAAGTATATACGTAACGAAAAGCTTAATTCCTTGGTCTTTGTCACTAGAATTGCCTTACTAATTTTTGCGGGCTTAACAAGTTATGCAGCCGAACAGCTTTGATCTCAAAAAGTCACAATTTATTTATCTATTTTAGTTTTTATATTGTTATCTATCGAGGTGGGAGCTGTTTTGGATTCCAAAGATTCGACTGTCTCGTATGCGACGAATCTTCATCTTGATGTTCCTTAGGTTTCGTTCTTGGCCCGGCGAAAGTAACTGAGCTCGTCAGACATAAATGGAAGGAAGGCAGACAGCTTTTAGGAGAAATTAATTAAATTCTATGACAGTAGGGACTTGCATGTGGCTTCGAGTTGTCTCAAGGGACTTCGGTATGAGAACATATATACTTATCACCACCTAGGCGTACTTAGTTAAATAACGTAGGGTAAACGTAAGGAACTTTTTGGCCTCTCTATCAGGAGCTACAGAATCTTCAATAGATACGAGTTTCAGATACCTTCGACACAAATTTTACTCCTATTCGTGGCAACCATTGAAGAAAATAATATTTTTGAAGGACCTGATATAAAAAAAACAGTCTGAAACAGCAGGTGTTCTCCTGTATGCCCAATGTCTCTTGTTAAATGGATACCTTCTAATGCCAGTAGTTTATCGTTAACATTAGTCGTAATGCAGTAGAAAATTCAACCACTCTAACACATATGATACGTACGCGTTCTCAGATGCTTTTATTTTATACACTGGCTGAATAGTATAGACATACCTTATATTTGTCCTTATATTTGTCGCAATTTATTTATTATCCGTCAAATCTCCTTACGCTCATAACGTTTACTGAAGGCGCACACTATATAAGCTACACATGCATATATGTATATTGGTAATATACATGTGCAGTAATACTTGACAATAACTATAGTAAATTAGCATGAAGTTACACTATGAAGTTACTTAACATAGTGTAACTCGAACGTGCTAAATTACTTGTCATTTTTGCAAATATGAGTTTCAACTCAACAATAAACTTAAAAGGGAATTTTTCATATGTGAGTAGATTTGCTCTTAACCTAAGGTTGCTATGATGATGAGATTGCTCGCAAGTTGACTAGACCATCAGTTAAGTGGATCCCATTATGCGTGTATGTGTGTCTACCGCTGAGTCTGTATCTATGTGCTAGTTAGTAAAAATATCGGTCACTTTGGGAGATAAGAAACAAAAACTAATTCTTCCTTCACCTTGGTGTTGGTGCCTATCGGCATTTTTCTTGCCTCGCTGTATGCCTCGCCTACGGTCGACAATTTCCCTGCCGAGGAGAGGACTTTCTGTGTAGCGGTTCGTCTCTCACTTCACTCATCTGATCTTGACTAACCTAAATACTCTTCGCTGGCTATGCGGGATGATATCATCGGTAAAGCAAACCCTTGAGTCCCATCGTCGACCCACCACGGTAACGACCTCACTAGTGGCTCAGACCCGCAGTAGAGTGTGTGTCCCACACGAGATAACAGTGTTTGAAATCTGGCGCGCCTCCGGACATTAACGCCTCTCTCTCTGAGATACCCCTTAGTATTGTGCGTTTGGGGGTCGTAGTGCGGCCCCTTCGGCCCTCATTTGAAGACCCGTGCGTGCCTGCTGCTGGTTCGCCGCCTATATCTCAAGGCAAGCAGCTACACGCTCTTCTGCTATGAAGTGATTTCCACACTTCAATCGCGCCGAGCTCGATGCAGACCACGACGCTCATCTGGTCGGATAAGCTTCGAGATTTATTTGTAATATTGCACCGGTTTTACCTATTAGTACTAAATGTGCATAGAACTTGTTGAAGAGCTTGTTTCGACTGAGAGGAGCTCTTTAGGCAATGAAACCTTTAAAAAGTTCGTAGCTGAGTATTGCTCTTCAAACTTCTAGGATTCAAGGGCCATTAACCTAAAAAAGCTACGCCACCGAACTTTACTTAGTGTTATGTGACAGATAACAACAGTCAGCTTGCTACTTGTAGAATCGAATATTTTAACATAGTGAAAGTCTTTCTCCTCTGTTCACTGTGTTTCGCATGCATTTTTTGCAGGTCCAGCTCACACATTACAAGCTCTGAGCTCTGAGCCATGAGGGCTAATCAGTAATTCTAAAAACGCCTGACACAAATACACATGTATCCTAAAACATGGCTTAATAATCGATAAAATGTCCAAACTGGGTGGATAGCGTTTCTCATGAGCCACTACGTAACAAGCCGCATACGATGAAGTATCTGATACGCATATTAGCTTAAATAGTTAACTTACTTCGGCATCGACCTGTCTCATCCTCGACTGACTCGAACATACATAACAGTACCTCTGGTGAAGTTCATCGTTCTACAATCGAACAAGACAGACACATAGTTCTAATGGATACATCGAACATTGCTTCACTATCGCTGACACATGTTTTCCTGTTATGAGTGGCTTGCAGAATGGTGCTTCTAATCGTAGTACGAACACTCGTCATGTATAATGACGTTTTGGCCGTTGGGCCGTTATTACGTTCACGTGTGCGAGTTACACTCTTTATTCACGCCGTCAACTCTATAAATATTAATTGATCATTATCATACAATGTGCTGCTAGCCAGTGCCTTCAGTCCCCTTGCTTCGGCTCTTATCGACCGCAGCGGCATGAGGTTTGCACACACAAGTACATATACACATCAGCTTCCTATGGGTCAGACGGATAGATACATCGGCTATTCGATTAGATGCCATCCCATATAGGCTCGAAGCTAAACGACCAGGAAGCAGCAGGTTTGATTGGGAAACAATGGGAGAAGACCCTTGCCCCACCCTAATCGACCCAATCCAAAGCTTAACTCTACTTACTTGTGCTTCACAGGTAGCCATATCAATCAGCCCACGGCTGGAATACACTGCCTCGTCGAGATCGAATTCTTGGAATAGAATGCGGCAAACTTAGCTGGATCACAAGTGCTAGGATTATAGCTTCTGCCAACAGTAATAGTCTCAGTGCTCATTTGCGCTCTGGGCTTCATTCGACGAGAGTTTCTATCTTTATGGCGACAATGAACGTGACAATAGTTCCTTTGCAAACAAAATGAATTCTTGCCAAAGAATAGCCAGCAATAGTACTCCTGGTTGTAAAACGTAAAATGTTGAGCCTGCTTTAGCGTCGGAGACCTGAACGCAGGTTAATCTAAGCAGGAACGTTCCGATGGCGTCCCAGACGTGTCGTCAAGATCGTAGTTCAGCGCATGCGTATGTCTGCAACGTTGCGCAAAATGGGCTCATGAGAAGCAGCGACCCGGACAGGGACGGGTGTAGGCATTGTTTATTAAGAACAACTCAGTTTGAAGCAATGGAAACAAAGACGACATATTGCGTTCTTAAGATCATCGTTGTTGTTGGCACGTTATGGCAAATGCTTTGCGCATTAAGTGTAATGAAAATGACGCTTTGCTTGAACGAGCAGTATTTATAATAATAATAATAAATTTGTATTTAGCCCCTGCACCTCGTACAATCGTTCATTTCGATTATCATTTTTCATAGGGGAAGAGCAATTCCTCCTGTTTAATCAAAGCTATTTATCTAAAAAAAAAAAAATGCTGAAGGAAAAGTGTACAACAGCTATACAAGAAAAGATAAACAATATAGTTCATCATTGTGTATTAGTATGATCGTTAAATTTAGACGGAGAAAAATAGATCGTACCATGAACTC